CAAGTGAGTTCTGGGGATCTAACGTACCAAACAATATCTTAGCAAAATACTGAACAACATGAAATATTAACATTGGCTTGCTCTGGTAGCCGCGACCCTCTAAGTTTCAACTCCATACAATATGATTCTCTTAACGTTTGTGTTGAAAGTTCTGACTTTGGTGTTGGCTGAAGGTTACTATGAGTTCCAGGTGTTCTTCAACTTTGGGAATACTGCCTTTGCTTTGCCAATCCGTGTCTTCACCTCTGCATCAGGCCCCCTTGTCTGTCAGTGTTGTTACTCAACCATGTAAAGTCTTCCACAGCTTAGGAACCAAGTGTGAATGGGTCCGTATTCATTGTGATTTTACTTTAGGATCTTGTCTTTTCCCTGGCTAGTGTTGAAGCCGATCCCTGCAAAGTAGCTGCTATACTGGTCGTCTTCGCCTGTATTTGTTGTTGTGTGTGTGATAGCACGCATAGGTCATCTGCAAAGTACAAATCGTCCAGCTGCATCCAAGCTGTCCATTGTACTCCATGATTCTTCTATGATGTGAGAATCTTCACGATCCAGTCAACAGCTAGCGGAAATAAAATAAGCGGCCTTGTTTGATATCAGCCCCGTCATGTGAAATGGACATTTGAGCTGCGATACAGTTCTCTAGAGGAGTTCCATATGATGGTGATCTCAGGTACTCCGTAATGTCAAAGAAGATTCCGAAAAGTTCTCCCATGCATTCTTTCAAATGCTTTCTTGTAACCAGGGCAGTTCATTTTTGATGATGAGTTCCATTTAGCCGATTGTTCAACAATGATCCGTAGTGTCGCGATTTATTTGGCACACGATCGGTTCTTACAGAATCCAGCCTGTTGATCTCGGAGCTGGGCTTCTACTGAATCCTTCATTCGGTTTGACAACATCGTTAATAACCTTTCCTGGTATCAGTAATAGTGTGATCTCTATGTGGTTCTCACAGTTGCTAAGATTTTTCTTCGTTACCTTAATGAGGTGTTCTTTCTACTCTGTTGGCACTTATCCTTCCTTCTGAATATGTGGGATATCTCAATAGTTACTTTTACATCTGACTTCAGTGCTTCGGCTGATTTGACGTATGGCCCCACTATCTTGCCATTCTTGATTTGTCTGACTATCTTGTTTTTCTATATTGTTGGTGGGGTGACATCTAGGCTGACTAATATTTTATCTAAAATCTGGGAGTTGGACGTAATCCCCTCTGACTGGTCACAATCACTTATCGTCCCAATATTTAAGAAATGGTCAAAATCATCTTGTGAAAACCATAGAGGTATTTGTTTGACTAATATAGTATCTAAAATACTAGCCTCGATAATTATCGGACGCCTAACTAAGACTCGTGAACTGCAAACACGAGAGGATCAAGCTGGCTTCAGACCATTCGTCAGGTTCTAGAACACAGGCATACTTATCGGTGTCCGACAATGGTGGTCTTCCTTGACTTAAAAGCAGCATTTGACTCTGTAGACCGAGAGGTTCTGTGGCAGTGTAATTGAAAGGCGTACCTCAAAAGTACACAAACCTTGTGAAGGCTCTTTACTCAAACACTACTAGTCTAGTCAGAGCCTATGGCGAACTGTCATCCGCTTTCGCAACCTGAAGTGGTGTCCGTCAAGGCTGTCCACTTTCTCCGTTTTTGTTTAACTTCGTCATAGACCTACTGATGGAAATAACGCTCTCATCGACTGAATTCTTGGGTATTGATCTCTTTACAGAAGGTCAACTTATCGACCTAGAATACGCAGATGACATAGTCCTGTTTGGTGAAGATGCTGATAAAATGCAGAGTCTCTTAGTGGCACTGACCAACAATACCAGAATGTTTGGGATGCGCTCCTCTCCCTCTAAATGCAAGTTGTTGCTTCAGGACTGGTCTGCGTCAACACCTGAACTAAGGATAGGGAGTGAAGTAGTCGAACGCGTTGACAACTTCGCTTATCTTGGGAGTCTAATCAGCCCTAATGGGTTGGTGTCTGACGAAATCTCAGCACGGATTCGAAAAGCTCGTTTGACCTTTGCCAACTTACGTCACCTATGGCGAAGGCGAGATATCCGTCTAACAATCGAGGGACGAGTATACTGCGCGGCAGTTCTTTCCGTTCTACTATACGGCTGGGAAACATGGCCTTTGAGAGTAGAAGGTACTCGTAAGTTACTAGTATTTGACCACAGATGCCTTAGAAATATTGCTGGTATCTGCTGGGATTACCGGGTAGGTAATAGTGAGGTTAGATGTAGGGTATTAGGAAATGATGGTAAATCAGTTGATGAGGTTATGAATCTTCATCGACTGAGATTGTTGGGCCACGTGCTGCGTATGCCTGAATACCGATTACCACGGCGCGCAATGCTAACGGGTGTTAGGGATAATTGGAAGAAAGTTAGGGGCGACCAAATCAAAACGTAGCATTAGTGCTTGAAGTCACTAACTTCTGGTCTGAGCCATGTTGCTAGATGCAGACTGCCTGGTTGGGGTCTGCGTGACTATCGTAACCAATGGTTGGCAGCTGACTGACTGACATCTATAAGGAGCTTCGTGTGTGTTGTTTGGATTTCAGTGGGATCAGTGGGGCTGATCTATTATTCACGAGCTCTTCATAATGCTCTCGCTTCTCTTGATTTTCATTATTGCTGGTTATTTCTAACTGAGTACTTTGGTCTGCTATATTTCCCTACTATCTTTTTCATTGTATCACATAGTTGTTTCATGATTTGTTTCTCTTGTAGTTTTTTCCACTTTTATTGCTAGGTCTTCTACATATTTCCACTTGTCAGCTCCAATGCTCTTCTTCACTCCCTTGTTTACTGCTGTATATTGAGCCTGTCTGTTTCCTTTCTCTGCTCTTATTTGGCTATTGTTGATTACTGTCTTTTTGTTCTTCCCTTCTTGAATCTTGGTCAGGGTATCAATAAAAATCGATTGTTTATGATGGTGCTTCTCAAGGTCCAGCACTTCACATGTTGAAGCTATTGCGTCTTCTATCCTCTCTTGGATAGATCTCGTAAGACTTGTTGCTGAAAAGTATTTTGAACTCTCTGGGCTTGCTAAGATCTTAAAGGACGTCTGTATCCAATGCTTCCTTAGCCTTAGCTTAAGTTTATCCACCATAAGTTGATGATCCGAAGCTACATCAGTTGCTTTGTTCTGACGTCTTTGAGAGACCTCCTAAATTTTTTGCCTATGCAAACGTTATCGATCTGGTTCTTTGTGGTGTGGTCCAGTGAAACTTGCAACTTTGGGGTGTGTGTGAAATAATGCTACCTATGATCATGCTGTTAAAAACATGGATATATCATCTCACCATTCTCATTTCTTTCTCCCAGTCCATGTTGCCTCATTATGCATCCGTACCCGCTGTTATCTATCCTTACCTTGGTGTGTAGATACCTCATTAGGATGGTCAGGTGTTTTCTTATACATTTTTATGAGATGAACTTCAGTTTGTCATAAAATTATTCTACATCGTCTTCACTGCCATGACGGTGGTGTGGTGGTTATTATGTCTGCCTTCCAAAAAGCAATAGTATTTAGGAAACCCTTGACTACAACCTGTGGGACAACAGCCTTAAAAGGTCAAGTAAATCAAAGTCCATATACGAAAATGTTTGATCGTATCCTCAATTTGTTTTAAGTTCGAAAATATTGGTATACACAGCGAAACGTTACACTAGTTATGTTCGTGAGATTTGATCATTGTTTTTTATTTGGCTAGTTTAGATATCTTTTTGCATGTCATATTGACTAATTAATTGAAAAGGTATTCTTATTGTTCGTAATTATGCTTTGATATTTATAATAGTTTTTCCAAAAAGTTTTTTACTGTAGCAAATGTTACGTGTTTAAGTGGATAATGGATACTCATACATTTACATATGGCAATCAACGTAAGATTACCACGTCACATTGTGCGATATGTGGGATGTACTTCACAGACGTCGATTAGCGAAAATCACAGTGTTTGTGTGCTGTTCACCTTCACTCTTATTTAAAAATCTTTTAATAGTACAGTTCACGGCTACACTCTATACCTAACAGACGGTCGGTTTCCTTACTGATTTCATCAATAGTAGTGTTCTCCATGTGTGTTAGTATCTGTCCCAAAATGTTGATAACAGCCTAACTTTTGAGTTGCGACAATAATATACCTACCAACTGATTCTGAATGATCTTTTTCATTTTTAAACGGACGGAATTCCTACAAATATAGGATATTTCCAGTTAGGTTGAATCACAGCACTATTTAAGCCTTTATATGGCAAAATTTGAGTAAAGAACTTAAAAAACTCCATAAGCGTCATTAAAAAATAGAGCTGGAAGTGTTAATTGTTACTCTGCTCTCCACTAATCCACATTTATTTATACAGACATTACATTCTTCAAGTGTTTAAAACGGTCAGTTGCGAAATATTTAATAAGTAGTAATTGAATTTTGCAGCTTAAAATGACAGTTATGACACCGTCCTAACTAGCTAATCTATCTACCTAGTTCTGGAGTAATGATAAATTTATTAAAAATCAGCTAAATCCTTAGGGATATTTATGAAAACCATAATGTTATGAAGCTGACGAACATTATACTAATACCGAAATATTTTCTTTGTCACGTAGTATAACACATGAAAGTGTGTTTAAGTCAAGACATTTGTTTGCACCATTAGGAGTTTTTGCTGAGTTCTGTAAATATTCAACAACATACAAATTATTCACGTTTATAGAAAACAGTGTAATTGATCATCGTAAAGCTTATCATTTATTTTGTAATTATTTTGGTGATGGGGATCTGTTACAACAGGTTCTATTGACATCTAATAAATCCCCACATTTCTGAAAACGACTACGTTCGATAGTTGGTTCGTATGACTGTACTGTACGTAGGTGTAATAAATTGATTCCCTACATAATCTAAGCCTGTTATTATCAGTCATTATATTGCTTACAGAGCTTGATTTATACTGACTTGTTGTTTTACTTTATACTACTTTAGAATTTGATTATCAAAATAATCGTCGTTCTACACATGGCATGCATTCCATAAATAAGGATCAAGAGCAATATAATCATGATTTGATGACTCAGTATGAAATAAATCGGGCCTTGTTTCTGGCTAATCCACCTCCATCCGTTTTAGCTAGTCGTAATCGTGGTTGCGGTAATAATAGTAATAAAATAAATGATAGCCGTCGAATAGAAATACAAAAACATTCTTTAAATCAACCTGTAATAAATGGATCACGTATGAATCGTTCATCAGGTTTTCGGTCGACATTAGATCAACAGCGTAGTGTTTTTTCATCGAAATCAATGAAAGAGCGTGCATTTTACAATTTAGATTCTGGTATGTTTTTTTGTATTTCGTAAGTGAATAACATTGTTAAAAAATGAAATATTTTTTAAAAAATCAGTTAAAAATAGACTTTGACGTCAAGCTTGTGTTTAGTGTAGGGTAATAATTGCTTTGGCGACTCAGCTTGAGATGTCAATGATTTTAGTTACAACAAGAGCTGACAGTCTCTTTTATCCAAGACCATCTTATCTCTAACTTTATTCTATCTGATTATATAAATGCTCTCTTAGGGGCTTGCCTTATGGTCTGTATGTGCTCGTAATACAGAAAACGTTTTGAAATAACCTATTTGGCTGCTATTTTTATCTGTTATATTCCTAAGGAGATTGTTAAGTTGCAAGGTGTTTAGTATGTTATTTTTCTGCGTTTGCTTATCTTCTGAGGTTTTGATTTCGATGGCTTTTTTGTTTAACTTTCGAACCAGAGATATCTTGAACTGGATGAATGTACAAAGTTGAAGTCCATGTACCGATTCAAATGTTCCGATTTTCGTTAGTTGAATAAATTTTGATTTCCATGAAAGTTCCTTTTAAACTAAAACAGTCTAAGAATTGTAGTTCACTATGTTCATCTTCCTTTCTGGAGGTGGATTTGATGTGATCTGAGAACATACTTATCTAAAAAAGGACCTTCACACTACGACTTTCACATTCCATATAGAATAATCTTGACCAAAAATAACATGACATAGATATAATCACACTTATTTTGAATATGATTGGACTAAATATTCGATGGTCAATATGCTTTACTACTTTAGTGTTATGTTGTCAATATCAATAGGAGTCTACACAATATAGGCACCAATGATGTCTCCTTGAATGACATTGATAGATTGTTGCTTTCTTTTAGCCCTGTCGCTAATTGGTCATATGAGTCTGACAATCAGTATTTGGAATTTGTGAAGATTGTAGTATTTTCACAGTTGAAATCACGGTTCGATTCAATGAATGGTTGCGCAAGATCATGGGTCACTTGAAACTAGGTATTAACGCCGCTGAATACCGTCTCGGTGATCTAGAGGTTGAGCGTTCACGCGCGAGATTGACGGCACAGGGTCCGAGTTCTGCGTGCAGAATTGTGGATGCGCACTGCTGAGGAGTCCCATACTGGGAAGAAACTGTCATTCAGGGCTTCCAGGTTTATACTAGCGGTCTAGCTTAGATCGACTTGTGATTTTAATTGTTTTTTTGTTTACACTGTTCGATAATTTCTGAAAACAAGTGAATCTTATTTCTGTTATATAATAAAGTATAGTTTATTGATTAGTTCAAACTATTTGTAGACTTCGATTTCTGAATGCCTAGTCTAATATTTTATTTTCTAATTAATTTTGTTAATTTTTTGTAGAACATGACAATCGGGAAGCCTTGTCCAAAAGTTCTCGTGGCCTTACGCGACATTCGCGAGTTCATTTTCAAAGTAATTTTCATCGTGGACAAGGTTCAAGACAATACTGGGGTCATGATGATAGATTTGAAAATCGCGAGAGTACTCCAGGACTTCGTGTTCAAAATTCTTTTCATAATGGTAATATTCCATTAGTTTTTTAAACTGTCCGATGTATATATATATATATATATATATATATATATATATATATAGGATTCAGTATTCCTTACATTTATATCTGGTTTTGATCTTCTCATGGATCCTACTATTCAACCACTATATAATAGAAGGACGTTTGTTACTACGGATAAAGCTTTGCTAGTACTTTCGAGCGTAAAACATTTGTATGATTGGATTTGTGGAACATTATATTTATGGAACTCATAGTCCACTAACAAGGTGACTAAAAACAAAATAATCCAGAAATAATGGAATGGAAAGTGATTATACCCTCGATGCAAATAAATTTAAAAGGTATCTTGTACAAGTTATTAAAGCATATACTTTCACATAGCCAGTACTAAATTAGGAATAGACATCGCCTATAAAGTTGCACTACCGGTCGGTAATGACTACAGTTTTATCCACAAAGACAAGAAGATCTTAACGAATAAAATAACTAATTCAGTGAAGACAACTAAAAGTCATAACATCTGACTATTTTCCAGTTTTCTCCCATCGATTAGTAAGACTGGGCAAGTGATTCATTACGTTGATTCCCTGCCTTTTTTAAATTATTCGTAATAACCTGACTATAGTTTTATTTAGTTAGAGGGTTATTGTATTCGGTACAATCTTGTGCGTTTGTATGATGTATCTAAGATACAAGATTTCCTGTAATCATACTTAATTATAATACCCAATATTTATTCATAACAGAATATTTTCTGCCCAGAAAATGTAATGGACTAACATGGTTTCTGTGTAATACTCAATTTATTGAAACTCATTTTTATGTAAATTATTTTGTTTTTTCTAATAATAACAAACCAATGACGCGTGTAAAATGATTGGTGATTATGTTGATCGATCAGAAACCATCACTTCTTGATCCTGTTTTACCAAAAAAATGAATAATTCATCCGAATACACATCAAGAGCCTGACGTACAATTCTTCAATCATCTAAAATTCATTTACTGTTAGACTTTAACTAATATATATGGATTAATTGTGAATTTCAAAAGTTCTACTTGGTATTGTCTTCATACTCATAATATCATTGCGAATAAATAATAATCATAAATAAGCAGTAGCTTTGAGTAATCCAACAAAATGCAGCATATTAATTTATCACTGATTTTTTCCCCGAGAATGGGCGATACATTTTATGGCGAACTATGAAGTTACGATTAACATTGATCAAAGGACACACGAATACTTGACGAAGGAACAAAAATATATCAAAAATAGATAGACTGAAGGACTTTTGGTCAGAATATTAAGAAATTGAACTGAATATGGTATGTTTTGAAAAGAAAAAGAGATTCGAGAGAGATACAAACTAACCAATCATTGCATCGATATAAAGAACAATGATATTTGAAGCTATCGACAGCTTTCCTAACATATCCATACCTTCTCTAAATTTATTCATTTCAATTAATTCTTACTCAATTAAATTGACAAATGATGTTTCATGCTTGAATGGTCAATCACTGTGACTACTACGTTTATATTGGTTCTAAAAATTTGAATGAATTTCGTAACACTGAGCCGAGATGCCTGGACTTAGAGTTCTATCACTAAAGCGAGCACTAGATCTTAATTGTTATGGATCACAAAGAAGCAGAACTATCAGCCCACCATTTGAGTTTGTGATAGTTTATTTAAAAATCAAAGTTACTCTTTGTGTCAGAAAATTTTGGTGGAAATTGTATGATTATGATTTACTTGTCAATTAATTAATTAGTGGATCAAAGATAAACCGATGTCTACACGATTCAATCCTTGATAATGTATATAGAGAACGAATGCTGGCTCTTATGAGAGCCACTACATTGTGATTATTATTTGACTAGTGTTTTATTTATTCCTTAAAAAATAATGTATAGTGATTGGTGCCGATAAATTACTTATTGATAAAATGATATGAATTATGTTTCATACCCTAGCAAGTTAAGGGTTCAAACAAATATTAGTTTGTTGCGCGAGCGCCTAACCAACTAGACCACTGAGCTGACCGGCATCCAACGGTTTTAATGTCTAACTTCAACCAATCCACGAAGTTTCGCCACCGTCACCATTGTCTTCAGTGAGCTGATATCTCACAACAGACCTGTCTGAACTCCATTGGTCACTGATTCTCACTAGAACCCCAGGAGTGTCTCTTGAAGTCAGTCAGCGCCTGGTGCGAGACTGATAGGTCCTGGGTTCGAATCTCACGGGGGGGATCGTGGATGCGCACTGCCGAGGAGTCTCATACCAGGACGAAACGGCTGTCCAGGTTTTCCATGATGGTCTAGCTTCAATTGACTCATGATTTCAACTATTGAGATCACTAAAATCTCCACAAAACCCCTTCTGATGATAATCATCTGCTGACTAGTGACTAACTTCAAGAGATACTCCTGGAGTTCTTGTGAGAAACTGACCAGTGGAGTTCAACCAGGTCTGTTGTGAGATATCAGCTCACTGAAGACAATGGTGACGGTAGCGCAACTTCGTTAACTACTAAATTGTTTATGCTAGATCTACCAAAATGTTAGATGAGTAACTTACGAAGTAAACAACACATTTACTCATTTTGGATAACCAAAGTAGATCATACCGGTACCTTGAAACGGATAGACAATTATTTTCGAATGAGCAAAGAGAGATTCAATCTGTAAGTGGGTTAGGTAAAAATAAAATTCAGTGACTTATATAATCCTGTCAAGAGTGATCTAGTGTAGGGTAAAAACAGTACTTTCATGATTATAGTTTTTAACGATAAAATCCAGTTATAATAAGGTAAACCGGTAAGTACCAATCGTTGGTCACCGGCTACCATGGGACTGTATCTCCTTACGATGTTCTACTGCCTTGTGGGTCAGACGTTCAGGTCGAAGGCTCGGGATGTGGCCCCCTAAGAAAACCACCTGCTTCGGTTCGGGCACCCGGGCAGTATCACAGCCCTCACACAAATCAATTGAGATTCGTGTGGCGCATATGTATTTGGTCCCTCTTTGTACCAATACCTATGTGTTAAAATAAAACCGGTAAGTAGTAGATCTAAGTGCTAACGTATGGAAGTTTTTTTTTCAAATTAACGTTCTTTCTCCACGTTAATTGGACATAAAATGGTTAACAATCATGTGTTTTTAAATACATAAGGTGGTCTGTATACACGTGATCATTGTGTTCTATATATTTGACAACTCTAAATCCTTTACGTATCTGTAGTGAGTCACATACATGCAGGTTAGTGTGCTGATAAAAGTGTTTAGATTTGTAATATGTAGATTCTTTCGAATTCGCTCAGAAATCTTTCTCTTATAATTACCTGAGGTGTTTGCATTTTTACCGGTTGATAAACCCAGTATCGATGTCTTGTAGATTGTAAGACGTGTAGTTGGACAAGCAGTTTGGTACACTTATTTCCGTTATGAATTTGAATAAAGCCAGAACTACAGTTGCAATAGAATAATATGAAACCATTTTATTTCGTGGTTTCTGCTCAGCTGCTCACAGCCATATTTGTATTAAAATATATGTATGAATAACTATGTGTACGGTCATTTTGTATAGATATCGAAAGCGCCTTTGTTTGTACGAGTCAATGTTAAATCTTTGTTTTCAAAAATCATGTAGCCGAGAGTTGTGTTCCTTTGATAGAAGTTATCTTGTTGGTTGACTCCCTATTCACGTCGTAGGAGATGCAGTTAATAACAGTGGTACACAAGCAAAGATTCTAGGAAAAAAGTTGGAAGATGAGTTAATCGTTAGTGGTAGTCTCTTCAATCATTCGAAACTATCCAGCTCAGATATTCCATAATAGTATGAATTCCTTTAACAAATATGACTAACTACACAATGCAATCGTTAAACATCTGTCGCGATTTGGACAACTGATCTGCAATCAGATCAGCACTTGATTTCTCCGAAGTTCTTGATGGACTAATATTTTCTATGCGAGAGAATAGTGCAATAAATAAGAGGGAGGAAATAATTCAGTGGTTAATGTAAACGGTCCATTTACTGTCTCGTTTCTTATTGGTATGTTAGTAACTTCTCGCTTATTAATTTCGAGTAACTTGCGATCTTATCCCTCAATAAAATTCCGTTTTTTAGATTACATTTTATCCGTTCACACAACTATAATTATGAAGACATTTTTAACCATTATAATATGATGTGTTTTGCTCATGTAGTATAAGTTCTTACCTACATTTCAAAAATGCAAACACTGAGTGTTTAAACACGCTAAAGCTTGTTGAGGTTACTGTAACAAACCAGATCCAAACGACTGTGAATCATACCATTTTACGACATTAGAGGATTTACATCTACTATGAGAAATAATGATTAAAAGTGAATTCAATGTTAAAGCGTTTTTTAGCTTATCTGAATACCTTATACAACATTAAAAAAGAAAGTGAATCAGGGGCTAACTATATTTAACCTCATTAACCAATAGAAAAATTATTACCTTAATTAAATGTACAAAAAATAAACACTAATATCATGTTGGCGCGTCATAGGTGACTCATTGCCTCTTTGTTTGACCACATTACCTTGTTATTCTTGTTTTTCGGATATTATTTAGTAACACTACCCCCAATTTGATTCTTGGCAAAATATATTAGTCACCGTCTGTTCGATCAGATTTGAAGTGTCATAAATTAACTTATTTGAACACAAACATTAATACAAGGGGGCACCAAATACACACATGCCACACAATAACAATGAGACCAGTATCAGTTATCATTGGTTTGTGTGGGGGCTGTGATACTGCCCAGGTGCCCAGACCGAAGCAGGTGGTTTTCTTAGGCAGCCACACTCGGAGCCTTCAACCTGAATGTCTGATCCACATGGCCATAAAGCAACGTCGGGAGATGCAGTTCCATGGTAGCTGGTGACCAATAATTAGTTCATACGCCATATGTTCCTTCAGGATCCTGGAGCCTATGTGCACCATTGGTTCGGAATCAGGGT